AAAAAAATTGTTTAAAGCAAACTTGCGTTTAAAGCTCTCCCAAACACCTAAATCTTCCACTGTGCGCTAGTTGTTCAAGAAAATAATATTCCTATATATCATTCAATAATAAAACTCTTAATTTAACATTTTAATTTTAATTTTTAAAAAAATATAAATTTAGGGAAAAAATTTAATATATCATATAAATAATGATTGAAAATTATTTTTCTTCGAGTAAAACTACTAAATAAGAATTATTTATAGAAAAAAAATTAATTAGCATTCCTTTACTATATTAAATTTTTACCTAAATCTTTTTGTTTTAAAAGTCTTAAAATCAAAGTAGAACTACTAATGTTAGAAAATTAGAATAAAGGTAACATTAAAAGATGGTTGTGATTTTTTTTTAACAATAAAAAATTATTCTAAATTTTATAATATTGATATAATATCAAATGAGTAAATAAATACTTTATCATGTGTCACCTCCTGAATTTAAAGATTCAATAAGAATTATACCATGTCATGTTTAAAGATTGACTAATTCTATAGGGACCGATTCGGTCCATAGGCCGACGGGTCCCTGTAGTTTTTTTTTTAGTTTAAGATTAATAACTTTTAATTTATATATATTAGTCTTGTAATTTATTTTTTAAAAATATTAAGCTTAAAGTTCAGCCGTTAAGCTCTAAACATAAGTGATATAAAACCTCAAATTCTAAAATTTAAATCCTAACATCTTAAAAATCTACACCCAACACTTTAAATTAATAAATCTTAAATGTAAAATATTAAATACTAAAATAATTTAGATCCTAACTCTCTTATTATTAAGAGAATAAACAAATTACATTACCTTTAACGATTGATAGAGATATGGTCTCTAATCCCTTAATTAATAGTTAAATGAAGTGCAACTATAAAAAATTTGAATTGAACTCTTAACACTAAAAGGTAATGGAAGAAATTTCCAGGATTAATATAAATATAAATTACTAAGGTATTGTTTGGATTGAAGGTGTCGGATAGAGAGAGAGGGGAAGGGATGGGGACGGATAGCAAGGGAGGGAGAGCAAAGGGAGGCTGTCTCCTTCCTCCTGTTTGGGTTTCCAAAAAGGCAGAGGGGGAGGGAGATGGACTAATTCGGACTCCTTCCAACCACTCTCAAATCTGCAGATTTGCAATCCGCCCGATTTGAGAGATTTAGGAGGGATTTGAGTGACTGTTTAGATTAAATTAAATGTAATTACAAAATTAACCTTAATTTTTTTATTATATCCTTCTCCATTACAAATTTAAAGGATAAATTTGTAAATTTAAAATTAATTTAAATCTTTCCCTTCCTTCCCTTCCTTCCCTTCCTTTTACCTTAATTATCCAAATATAAAATAATACAATCCTTCCATTTCCTTCCCCTTCCTCATTTTTATTTATCCAAACAAAATTAACACAAATCATTTCCTTTTATTTTCTTCCCTTTCCTTTATTTTCCTCCCCCTTCATATCCTTTTATTTTCCTCCATTCCCCTCCCTTCCCTTCCCTTTACTATTTTCTATCCAAACAAGGGCTAATTGTGAAAATCATTTCATAAATTTTACTATAAAACTTTAAACAAGAGATCAACGGAGGTGACCTTTCCGCGTGAGTTCGGCCTGTTCGGCCTTTGAGGTACTTCGGCCGCTCTAGCATTTTCCTTAAAGATTTTATCATAGAAATGATTTTCCTACAGAAAAAGAAGATGCAGAAATTCAAAATTTCTATCTCAAAATAATTATAATTTTTTTTATTTTTCTCTAAATTAAAAATTTTAAAATAATTTATATATTTATATAATGTTACCCTTAAAATAATTAATGGATAGTGAAAATAGTAGAGATTAAATATTTAATTAAAGTAAATTAATAATGACAAGGTTAAAGTAAGAAAAAATATTATTTATTTTAAAAAATAAAAAAATAAAAATTAATTTAAAATAAAAAATGACAATTATTTTAAAATAAAGAGGATAAGGTTTTGATTTTAGCTAGAAGTGAGTGAGATATAGTTTGGTCCCGCTGAATTTTATCCAGCACACAAAATGTTAAAAAAGGGGTTTAGCTGAG